GTCCTCCATAAAGCATACTAATTGTCAGAGGCCAAAAGAGTGAGGAGCTTTTTATAAGTAGCTATGAGCGAGATATTGACCTTCTTAAACAGAATATAACCTATCGTTATAATCCTAAAAAGAAGAAAAAATAAATGTGTACGAAAAATTTATAATAAATGAGGCATCGCGGTGAAATCAGGCACTCGTCAAAATGATGCAATCCAAGAAACTGGCATTTTTTTTTCTAAATTTCTTTTTTGGCTCAACACCTTTTATGTCGATTTAAAATCACATTTCCGTTTTGATTTTACTAAAAAAACATTGATTAAAGGCACAACAACTGTAAATGTTCGGTTTCCAAGGAATCTCATACTATGGAAATTACTAAATGTTGACGGCCATTTTTTCGCTAATTTTACCTCTGAAAGCAGGCGACACACACCTCCTTCATTAACAAATATCCCGACTTCTGTTCAAGGTAGATTGACATTTTTTGGACCAAAAGAAAGGCTAAAGAAGTGGCCTTAAAATGATATCAATAACCTTATATGCCCCAAAATTGACGAGTGCCCTATTCCACCACATATGAGGCTGTTTTCGTGTTGGAAAGGGTGTTTCGCTTGCGACCACCATCTTGGAACAAGGGCCATAATTCTGCAAAAACTGATATTTACTTTACTTTTATCCGCCGCTTTTACCCTTTTGGGTGTCGTGGGAAGAAAGGGACGTCTTTCTGCCACCTGCCGGAGAGCTTGGGTCAGGGGGGGTGCCGTGAGTTGTTAGTGTTTCCCTGACTCCATCTATCCAGGTCTTTCTCGATCGCCCTCTAGCCTTGTTGCCATCGAATGATTTTTAAAAAAATGTAGGCACGTTGTGCTGGATGGTGTGTTGGTAATCGCATGAGATGTCCGAAAAATTTAATTCTTTGGTGTTGGATGTGATGCATGACATCATTTGTGTCCTCCATTTCTCTGATTACTGAGTTTCTAATTTTGTCTCGCCTGGTCTTGTTTATTGTTTTTCTAAGGCATAGCATTTCACTTGTAATTCTTTGCTCTAATGTCTTGTTCGTGGTCCATGTTTGGCATTGATAGGTGAGTGTTAGGATGAATATAGTGTTGATCATTTTCAGTTTTGTTGTCATGGGGATGTTAGGACGTTTCAGTAGTGGAGTAAGCTGGTAACTAACATTATGGGCCTTTTGTGCTCGTGTTTCAATTTCTCTGTTCAGTCGCCCATCCTCTGTGAATATACTTCCGAGGTACAGTACTTAAATTCTTGGACCTGTCTGAGACTGATGTTGAAAGTGACTCTAGCAGAAGATAATAATAGTAATATGCCTTACCGAATGATTTTTGCAGAATCAAGCTTATTTCAGAAGAGAAAGCCATCTCTTTTATCGTGGCCATAGTCTATTGACAGTGTATTTTCTCTTACAGTCTACTTTGTTGATAATGGTGCCCTCGAAGAAACGTAAGAAAAGAAAACTTTTTTAAAAAAGAATCTTACAACTTTCCAGGTTTTTTTCCCTTTTTTTCCATGATAATTATGAACAAAACTATTTTTTTAAGTCCATTTTTTTCAAGTCCAAGACTTGTTATTCATATGGTAAGCCTTACACATAATGTAGATTTTGACAGGTAATCTCTCTGTCTCTCTGTCTCTCTGTCTCTCTGTCTGTCTCTCTCTCTCTCTCTCTCTCTCTCTCTCTCTCTCTCTCTCTCTCTCTCTCCACTCCCTTAGTCAAACAATCCCATGTTGTCTCTTTCTACCAGCTGTGCCTATGTGTTCCGTGGAAAGGCTGACACAGGCATGACTTTCGAGAAGACGGAGAACGAGGAGGAATTCAAGTTCCTCCCAGACTGGTTCATCAACTGGGACAAGTTCCTCCCAGACTGGTTCATCAACTGGGACAAGTTCCTCCCAGACTGGTTCATCAACTGGGACGCTTGGGACAAAGCAGTGTGAGCTGATTCCTCAGTGGCGAACTCACCCCCGTCTCTTTGAGCACGTCACGTAGTTATTGTTACGTCGCTAGGGAAGGGGGTGGGGCAGGCTTGGTGGCCGTCGGAGCTAAATCTGTGATCTGACATTCTTTATGGTTAATTTACTGTTTGACGGATTGCCACCTTAGACAAGAGCCTGCTTTTTTTCCATGGAACATAATTTCTCTATAATTTGCATGCCTAAGGACAATATAGCCTACTTTTCTATACATTCTGGTTTACCAGTATTTTTTGTAATTGATAACATATGGTCATTGTGAATGAAGGAGAAGGAAAGCCAGGCAGAGGAAAGGGGAGTGGGGGAGGAGCGGACTAGAGGATAACTGTTTTTCACACTGCTTGCATGTTACAGTGGGCCCCACTTGTAACAGTCACAGTTACTTTATAACAGGATTCTGCCTATAGCAGGTTTGAAATAACTGAGATATGACCAGTCATGTTCTCAACTAGAGAAAAGCCCACTAAGTTAATATATATAAATATGCCTAGTGTATAATTGTTGGTGGTTTTATTAATGTGCATAGTGGTGAACTGAGAGTTCTTCAGACTTTTGAGCAGTTTTCTTTGCTTGATGTTTTTATAATCAATTTCTGACTCCTCTTTTTTTTTCTTTTTTGTTGTTGCATGCATGTGGGCCTCAAACTTCTGAAGGTAGGAAGAATACTTGATGTTTTCTATAAAAATCAATTTCTTACCTGTACTTTTTAGATATTTTAAATTGATTTCTTATTTGCATGCATCAAACTTTTTATGGTACCGTGAGAAGACTGTTATCCAAAGGAATTGGGCCTGTGAGTGAGTAGTTTGCGATTTTTTATTACAGTTATTAAATTTTACTGCATCAGTTCAGTTTGTCTAAAATCAAACTATGACTATTTCGATGGATATAATAGCGTATGTCGTGTAGTAGTTAAGTACTTCACCATCACATACTGAAGACTTCAGTTCAGTTCCCACATAGGTAGAATTTTTATCAAGTTTCTCCATCTTTCTTCCAGGACATCATGTCCCTCTAAGCCTGTCCCTGTAGTTTTATGCACCCCGCATAATTTAAAAAAAATTGATCATTTTTTTAAAACCATAATTTCTGATTATTTTCCTTTATCATTCTTTATTCAAATTAACGGAATTCCATAATTTCACATTTTTGGGCTCAGTTTGCATAATTTCAGAATTATTTTTTTTTTGCATAAAACCGAGGAGTCAGCTCTAAGCCAAGGCTGGTCCTCACAGGCATATTGGAGCAACCCACCTCTTAAATAATGTAGATTATGTGAAAGGGGGATCAAATATCTACACTGCCGTTACATTAATGATCACAATTGAACGATAGGTCCTGGTAGCGATAACTCGGGTTATAATATTAAACTAATAATAATATATCGTTACATTAATGATTACAATTGGTCACTTTTAAGCACAAGGGGGCTATCCCGAAAAATGATGTTTTGAGAAAATCGAAGTTAAAGTTTTTGCCTCTTCTTCAGTTTCATTAAAAGACAAGGAGAGTTTTCTGGCCCAGACCCAGACAGCCGAACCAATTGTAATCATTGTCTCCTCGTTAAAATTCACTCTATAACATTACTGGGCGGAACAAAGGATCACCGGTCCAGGGTCCTGGCCAAGTAAGGTAACTCGGGGAAGTAGGTGACGAAGAGAACACAAAACAGAACCATGGGTGGCTTAAAACGCAAAAGAAATAATTATGCTAGCAATTGATGTACAAACAGTAATAAGGGACAGGTTGGATGATGAATGTAACTAATGAAACTATGTAAAATAATATGTATTAGTACTGCAGACGTGTCCTTCCTTTGTAAGTAACAGAGAGGCCAATTGGCAATTAGAAGCCATCTTTTTAGCTCTCTGGGCAAAAGCTGAATTCGCCTGGAGGCTGACGTCACTGCCGCGAGGGCGCTGTTCGCCTTGCACCTTGTGGCCTCGCGCAGATAGGTTTCACGTTGTAATGGGTGATTTAACATACGAGCCGGCGTGATAAACAAAAGATGAAGGAACAAGTCTTTGTAGTGCGACAACATACCAAAGAACCACTATTGTCTCTCAGAGCGCCTTCAAATCGGCCGAATTTATTTTAATGTTGATTAGATATTAATGTGTATTTGTTTAAAATTAAATAACAATTATCGTCAGCAATCAATCTCTTGTCCACTATACAGCCGATAAAAACTGACCGGCGCCACCGGTCTTGCCCAGTGAATGAAATGCGCCTGGCCCAACATACATAGAGAAAAACGAGCCTAGGATGAGACATTGTATTAGGATAGTTAATAAATCTTTGGTAGGAAAGAAGGAGCAAATCACGCTAGAGCATCTGTAAATCACTCAATATCTGTCTTCACCTTGTCTATCTTTTCAAAAAAGAAAGGAAAAGTCCCCGCTACGATTATATTTTTATCTTTAACTTAAGGTACAATTCAGATAATCTTCAGGATGTAAGCTTCTTACGCTGAGAGGGATACAACATCTTTGCAGACCGACCCGGGCTGAGAGGGAAACAACATCCCAGCAGACAGACCCGGGCTTAGAGGGAGAAAACATATTTGCACACAGACCCGGGCTGAGAGGGATACAACATCCCAGCAGACAGACCCGGGCTGAGAGGGATACAGTACCCCAGCAGACAGACAGAGATTTTCAAAACAAATTTCTCCCCACACGAGATTCAAACTCAGGTGTTCTGAATGTGACAGCGAAGTGTCTAACCACGACGACCACCGACATCGATTACAGCTTCTCTTGCAACACTAGAAGGTTATCTATTAGGTCGGACTTCTGAATGTAACGTCCAGTCCATCTCCGATACGACCAAGACGAATGGGGACAGTTCATATAGGCCACCAGTGCCTTTCTCAAGGACGAAATGTCTGCCAGGTTGAACCTCGCTCCCACGAACTGGCAATCTTACGTTTACAAGTCTGTCAGCCTAAACCATTCCAGCAACAAAGCCACAAAGCTGTAGGCAAAAAAGAAATGCAAATCCGAAATCGACAATAGGGTTATTATGAGGAATATTTATTAGCAGCTGCAAACAAAGATATCAAAACAATGTAAAGAAAGCCACTGGCAATATAAAATTATGTTATAATAATAATAATAATAGTAATATTAAATGCCCATATGCGTACACAAATCTGTAAAGACAAAATTGATTGATTAAAATGGGCACAACATACAGCTAAGGCTGTATCGTTTCACATTACCCCTAGAAGAATGTGTATATCCAGTCACAATAAGTACAAAATATATAGGTCCTATATATAGATACAGACAAACCTCGTCACGCCGCCTGCCTTGGGCCGAGTCTGGAGTTGGCGGTACAGCGGGGCTGGCGGTCTAAAGGGAGAGCACCAATATAAAAGCATCCCTTGTGCCCAACAACCTTTCACTCGTCGGTTTGATGATACCTGGCCATGCCAGATATTGATACCTCGCCAGATATTGATACCTCGCCACGCCAGATATTGATACCTCACCAGATATTGACACCTCGTCAAGCCAGATATTGATACCTCGCCAGATATTGATACCTCGCCACGCCAGATACTGAGCCGGGAAGCTGAGGTGGCTCAGTTTCTTAATCAACTTATCGTGGTGACTTGAACATTTCATTCAATTTTTTTATATTGACCAAAAGCAAAAAATAATTGGTCGTTTTTAATGACAAGCGGGCTAACCCAGATATCGGGGGTGTCCAGAAATCTTGACCTACACCAAAAGTGGGCATTGCCTTACCAATATGAGAAGTTTGGTTTCACTGGTGTGTATATTTGTTTGGTTATTGAGAAAACTCTCCTTGGCTTTAAAGAAACTGAACAAGGGTCAAAATCTTTACCTTCGACTTTCTCAAAACAGCGTTTTTCTGGATACCCCCCCCCCCCCTCCCAACTTTGTGCTTAAAAGCGACCAGTTGCAAACCAGGAGCAAAACGACGACAGGAGCAAGAAATAGGTCTAGGTCAAAGAGACGTTTGTTGGAATGAAGTGATCACGTACGTGGGCGCCGGGTGGCATGTGTCGTGAGTACCTCTGATGGTTCATTCGCTGGCGGTACAGCGGGCACATTTACAGTAGTTTAACCCTTCCACCCCCAGCCATTTTTGTGCACTTCCTAATCTCAGTCCCAGCCAATACAGCTGTGTTTCAGAAAAAAGTACCTTGAATTTAAAAAAAGTGAAACAGTATCTTTGTATTGAGGTTTAGATAATAACATATAGCGGTAAATATTATGAAAATTAAAGTTTAATTAGGTTTGCTAATTTTGAAAAATGCGCAAATTCAGTACCCCCGCCGTCCCAAGACTGCATATTCTGTGTCGTTAGCGACTGTCTGTCCATTTGATCCTCAGGCACTTGTTGATGACAACCTGGATCCCCTAACACTTGTTCATGACAACCTGGATCCCCCAACACTTGTTGATGACAACGTGGATCCCCCAACACTTGTTGATGACAACCTGGATCCCCTAACACTTGTTGATGACAACCTGGATCCCCCAACACTTGTTGATGACAACGTGGATCCCCCAACACTTGTTGATGACAACCTGGATCCCCTAACACTTGTTCATGACAACCTGGATCCCCCAACACTTGTTGATGACAACCTGGATCCCCCAACACTTGTTCATGACAACCTGGATCCCCCAACACTTGTTGATGACAACCTGGATCCCCTAACACTTGTTCATGACAACCTGGATCCCCCAACACTTGTTGATGACAACCTGGATCCTCCAGAACTTTGTACAGAGTGTTTTTGAAGATTCCCAGCCAGCTGCACCACCAAACAATCCAAAGGGGACGTGCAAGTCAAAGAGTTTCTGTTCACATCTGTGGACATGCTTCCCAAAAGCTGAGGAAAACTTTTTCGTGATCCCTAATTCGGTAATCTGTCGGGGCTTCATTGGTTTTACGAAACAGCCTGCACTGGTCAGAAACAATCTGCCTTGTATGTCAGACTACTCAGATATGTGCTAGATGGAAAAAACATGTAGATCTATGGGCCAAATAAGATCAATGTGAATTGTGAGTGAGTTTTGAGTCTGACAACATCATCCAGGTCAAGCAGGAATCTCACATGCGAGAAAAGAAAAGGACAAAGAGCGGGTACGACATGGATAAAACTTTTGCTCTTGGCCAAGAAGACCTTGTGATGATTTGCATGAAACTTCAGGGTGTACGTTTGTCATTTTCTATCAATTCCAACAGCTCTTGTTTCTTAAGCATGCACAGAATCTTCAATGTGACCTCGCATGATGTCATCTATTACTTATGACACAAGGCACAATGTGGTTTAATTGCAAATGAATTCACACGTTGTTTGATGGACTTTCAACGTGCACACATGCATAGAAGGTTGTAATAATATTTACAGTCACGGATGTGTGCGTGTGTGTTTGTGCACGTGTGCGTGTGTGCATCAGCACAAAATTGCATCTATTTCTAATGCCATGAGAGCTTTTTCCACTAAAGCAAACATCGAAATTAAACACAAAATCTCCTTAGAGGCCACACTCATCTGGACGTGGGCAGTGCAGCGTCACTGAGCGGTGGCTTAGAAGAAAACACACACAAATATACAGCCCACTAGATTGTGTTGACATTTTCAGAACTGCAATAATTATACCCAGGCGAGACTCTACAAAGTGAAATTTGTGTATCACATTTTTGTCCTAATTTTGCCAAAATTGAAGTCCACAAACGGTCAAATCAGGTAACAAAAAACTCCACTGTTAATGCAATATGGAGCCTCTGATATACATAATGAGAAATTCTTTACAAACTGAACTTTGACGATGACTGGGAGGGTCTTCTAAAGTCCAGAAACAAAGAAAACGTAACAAACAGTTCCCCACCACTGCATCAATTTCTTTTACAGATGGCAATGAATACATTTTAGGACTTGATAGACAAAAATATGAAGATAGTGAGAGATGATCATTCACGACGTATAGAAGTTTGATGCAAATCAAATTTCCAAGCCATCCACCCCCACTCTAAACACGCCACGGAAAAAAGGTCATAGACATACACTCATAATTTGGAGAATGAAAGATAGAATGAGAGATAGAGCGAAAAAAGGTGTATGATTTCATAAATTTCATACAATATCCCACTCTTGTAAATAACATATGTTTATTGTGGTTAAAATAAAGAATAGCCATCTGTTTCACTCACACTTTAATTTCATACTCTGTTTTTAAATTGGGCTTTTATAATATTTTTATATAACAGTATTGCATGTTTTTATGATTTTTTTAATGTGCATTGGCAAAACATGGCGGTAAGCGGGTGGTGTTGGTGGCGTTTGTGGATGTGTGTGTGGGGTGGGGTGGGGGGGGGGGGGTTATAACGAGGTTTGAACATTTAGAGAAAAATCATTCAATCAAAAAAGAATAATAACATAAAAATTAATGAAGAAATAAAAGGTTTAAAAATATATGCAGCGATTTGAACACTGGCAAGAAAGAATAATACATTATAATGTATGTATTAAAACTTTACTTGCTCCAACCAAATGTGAAGCAATTTCATCTGATGGTAAGAGAAAAATGCCTTACTGAAACTACTAAAGCATGGAACAGCAGCTTTGTGCTTATACTAGCACGATTTTTTTTTCTGCGTTGTTCTCATTCCATTTTTTGAGAACTTTTTAAATTCTTGATATGAGCCACTCAACATTATGTGTTCCTATCCAGGAGTGCCCTTTTCACATTTTGCGAATAACTTAAAATATCACATATTTTCTTTTTAAATTGTGAAAGTAGCCAATTTGAAATTCAAATTACACACAGTAAAAATATGGAGTAGAGTATGCTTTAAAAATGCAACATTTGCAGTCTTAATTAAGGCAAGTGTTATTTACATAAGCACACAATGTTTTACTTTTAAGAAAAAAAGCTTCCATTAGCCCATTAATTTCAAATTACTTTAAGTAACTTTTTATTACTGTAAGTAACTTCCTCAGACACAAACACATCCTTTCTCAAGAACACAGTTCCCATCTAAGAGCCGAACTCTCTCCACTTCAACTAACTTGATATACTACCAGGGAGCTTAAAACAACTGTAACCTCCTTGCCCCAATCACAACGCCAATGTTCCCCGGTGATCAGAGCAACTCAACCAACGACAGACCACGGCACTGCAGGTTGCAAGAACACACAGATAGCTTGAACAAAGAGACAGAGAGTTCCAGAAGAAAGTCTGCCGCCTCTCCGACCCACTTAACACCACCATCAACGGGACACAACTCCAACAAGTTGAGGAATCTAAATACCCGGGGAATATATTAACACATAATGGAAGACTGGAAATAAAAATTGAAATTAGGACACAGAAACCTATCAATTGTCACCACCACTCACTCATAAATATCTATCAGTGGAAGTAAAAAAAACAATTTATTAACAGCATATTCCTTCCCACAATGACTTACCAATGCCAGACATGGCAGCTAAACATGACACAAAAAAGGGAAAATCTTTGTCTGTGAGATGAAATATCTGAAAATATTCAATAGATTTACTTAGAAAGACGGCATACATTAGAAGCGAAACTGTCAGAAAATTTAGTGGGATTAAACCAGCAATGAAACACACAGAAAGCCAAAGAATCAAGGCTTCTTCTCCTGATGAGAATGTGACCCAATCAACCAGCCTCTAACTCAAAACAGTCAAGATATAGAAAGGCAGGGGCAGAACACTCAAGGCTTGGCTGGATGACGTTAAAGAGGTCATCCAATGAACAACAACAAATTCCACCCACTCAGCCTTTGACCGAAAACTGTAATACTCCCCTCCTCCACTTCCCACCTTGGTGTCATCTTAATGTCTGTCCATTTGCCTATCTTTTGATGGTCAAAATATCCTTTTATCTAGAATATAAGTCAAGATATTGGTGATTGAAGGAGGGGCGGGTCGCCTGGTTTCAGAGGTAAAATTAGAGACAAAATGGTCCCCAAAGATGAGTTTTAACTTGGGAGTCCCTGGAAAAAAAATGTACATCTTCTATGCCTTAAATCAACTTAAAAAAAAAATAATCCACACAGAAATATGTTAATATGTTCTTTAAAGGCATGAACGGTGATGAGCCTAACATACAAACATTTGATACAAATTCTCAAATCTGCATAAAAATGCGTTTCTTGACTTTTAATATTTTGACGAGCGCCTGATTTCACTACGTTGCCTCACATATTATGACCCCTTTCCATTTCTAGTTTACCTTAACAAAAATGTTCCTTCGACAAGTACTTATTTCCCTCATCATGAGATATCCACCGTCCGCGACTCCCACAGTGACCACACAGGCCACGGGTTCAGCAGCAACGACAACAACGCTTTTTCTCCTCCTGCCTCACCCTCTGGAAGCGCGCGAAACTCAGGAACACCTGAGGACAGCGAAAGAGACATTTGTACACGTGTATAGCTAGAGTACACACACGACACACACGCATACACACACACACACACACATACATACACACATACAGGACACACGCACATACAGGACACACGCACATACACACACACACATACACATACACACACATACACACACATACACACACATACACACACATACACACACATACACACACATACACACGTACAGGACACATACACATACACACTCACGACACACACACATACACACAAATGCACACACATACACACATACAGGACACACTCACATACACACGCACAAACACACACATACACATACACACACATACACACACACATACACACACACACAAACTGACAAAGAAACAGGCAGAGACAGACACACACACACAGACACAACACAAACAAACAAAGAAACAGACACACAGACAGACACACAGACAGGCAGACACACAGACAGACAGACTCACAAGGAGACACAGAACTGACCTGTTCCAGCGTTGTCTGATGCACGGAGTAGTCACGCACGTGCATCGTCTTCTTGCTCGACTCCATGAGGGAGAAAATCTGGGCCAGACTCACGGACATGTCGGGTACCTGGATGTGTATGTAGCCTTGGTGGTAGTCAAATACCTGGGAGAGAGAGAGTGTGGGAGGGAGATAGAGAGAGAGAGTGAGTGAGAGAGATACAGTGTGTGTGTGTGTGTGTGTGTGTGTGTGTGTGTGTGTGTGTGTGTGTGTGTGTGTGTGTGTGTGTGTGTGTGTGGATGTGTACGTAGTCTTGGTGGTAGTCAAATACCTAGGAGAGAGAGAGAGAGAGTGTGGGAGGGAGATAGAAAGAGAGAGTGAGTGAGAGAGAGATAGTGTGTGTTTATGTGTGTGTGTGTTTGTGTGTTTGTGTGTTTATGTGTACGTAGCCTTGGTGGTAGTCAAATACCTGGGAGAGAGAGAGTGTGGGAGGGAGATAGAGAGAGAGAGTGAGTGAGAGGGATACAGTGTGTGTGTGTGTGTGTGTGTGTATGTGTGTGTGTGTATGTGTGTGTGTGTATGTGTGTATGTGTGTGTGTGTGGATGTGTACGTAGCCTTGGTGGTAGTCAAATACCTGGGAGACAGAGAGTGTAGGAAAGAGATAGATAGAGAGAGAGAGAGAGAGAGAGAGAGAGAGGGAGAGAGAGAGTGTGAGAGAGAGACAGTGTGTGTTTGTGTGTGTGTGTGTGTGTGTGTATGTGTGTATGTGTGTGTGTGTGTGTGTGTGTGTGTGTGTGGATGAGTACGTAGCCTTGATGGTAGTCAAATACCTGATGGGAGAGAGAGAGTGTGTGAGAGGGATAGAGAGAGGGATAAAGAGCGTATGTGTGTGTGAGAGATAGAGAGAGGGATAGAGAGAG